CAGCTCAGAAGCTCAATGTGTGTTACAACGAGCATATCTAGAAAAACTCCCCAGGGAAACTGCAGCGGCTAACGGCCCCCACTTTGCACCCACAGAACAGGCTCGCGCTCTGGCTCTCTCTTCCCCAGCCAACAGAATTCCGCTCCCTCCCCGGGACAGCCTTCCCCAGTGCCCTGGCCACACGGCTCTCAGAGTCGACTTGCCTGCTCTCTGCAGACCCTCGGAATGCCAAAGGGGGGCCGCTTCCTGGTGCAGCTGGTCAAATGTTCTAGCAGGAGAAAGACTTGCCGGAGTGTGCACCTAAAATAATCTGCAGCTGGGGATGGGCACAGGTGGGGAATTCCCGCAGGAAGGTAACAGCTGCTCGGGAAATATATACACATAACAAAAGATGGAGCAAAGTAATCAGTTAAATAAACCCATGACTGTGAAATATAGTACTATTGTACTGGAGAACAATATCAACAAACGATTTGCAAATCTGTGGCTCCCAGCGGGCATGCCTTTGTCTCATAACATAAATCGGAACATAGTAATCATTAGGACTCCCATGCACTCTCTGGTTTTATCATAGCAGCACGGATTCAAAATGAGTGTTACATGTGTTCAGTGAAATATACATTTAAGGTGATTGGAGGACAATCAGCCGGGAAATAGGATGTTGGGAGAAGAATGCCGCTGTTTGTGGCGCTGAAAGTGATTTGTATTTGCACACAAACAGAAAGAACTACAGAGTAGAGCAGAAAAGCAGGTAAACAGCAACACGCAGTTCTGGGGCAGGGAAGGGGATATCAACAATGGTTTAAAAGTTAGTTTGTTTGCAAGAAAAAATTAGCATGTGTTATTACAGAATATAGTACTAAGATTACACTTACCTGCTGCCAGATCTGGAAAGCCTCCGAACCGATGAAACTTCGTCGATACCGGAAACAAAAATCTGCATAATTGGTATAACCTCTTCCGAAATTAAAAGGGATGTCGACGAAACGTTGTATGAGCTGGGAGAGACACGCTGTTAAGAATACTTGAAAAATTGATTTGGTTATGATAGTATAAACCCCGAAAAGCAGGGTTATGACCACAATTTCCATTATTTCTGTCAAATACAATCTTATCGGAGACTACTCAGGTACTTACTGTGACTAATGAAGGAAAATATTACACACAGTGTGTATTCATACCTGAGGCCATTAAAACGCACACATTTTCCAACAGATCCACAGGCCTCTGTCAAGTGAGAATAACTGCGAGCTACTTATTGTGCTTAATAGTCTTTGGACTAACGAACCACACCAGGCTGAAATAGATCTGGGAACAGGTGAAAACAGTTTTCCTGTGCAGACAGCGAGGACAATTCTGACACTGAATACTTGAAATAATACTACATAGGAATGGCCTGAATCATCATCATCAGCAAATCTACTTCCCCGGGCAGTAACAGAAGCAGCTCCTGAATCAAACTCAACCCTCGGCCAAGCAGAGAACTCAGCGATATGGGATTAAGGAGGGAGAGACCCAGAAAAGACAGATTCAGCTGTTCCGCAGGAAGACTTTTTTTAAAATGACAAGAAACAAGTGCATCCTCAAAATAATAGACACCCTACCTCAGGACAATATTGTAAAGGAAACAACCTGTAAAAAAGAAAGGCTCTTTCTTTCTTGTTCGTTGACAATAACGCTAACAGCAAAACTATCACAACTTTCATTTACATCAGGAGAACCTTTGGGTGTAATAGAGCCATTGGTAAGGCAGGGAATATGCAGATATGCCAACTACTCAGGTTTGAAATTGGGGAACAGTTTGTTTTTTTTAAAGGAGGAGTGGGGAAGGACTCAACATCTTGTTTTATGCCTGAGAGAAATGGTATATAATATGGTCGAGAAGAATTAAAATACATAATTAAAATACATATATTATCCAATAGAAACAAAGCAATACGTGGAAGGAAACATTTCTGGAAAGAGACACCGTGTGTGGTATAAAAAGCGATTGAACACATAAGGGCTGCATTAAATTCCCAATAGATAACATTTGGCTAAATCTATCCCTAAATTAAAACGCTGCATAATAGCACCATAAACTAAAAAGTTTCTTTTTGTGTGGTCCTTCTGGAGGAACTGCTTGAAACATTAGCCCCCATATAGAGCAATCCCCGCCCAGTTCAGCTCCAGTAATTCGTCTCTCAGCCCTACGGGGATATGAGAGGAAAAGAGCCGGGTTAATGAACCCACACTTTGTAGCTGGGAGGAGGAGGAGGCGACACCATCATGTTTGTCTCCCCACCAGTTTGTTTATTAGAGGCCAGCCTATTTAGGAAGAATGGCTCCACTGGGCTCCATCCCTGCAAACACTACAAATGTCCTTCTGTTTGCCTTCAAAGAAAAGGGGACACTGCGCTACATTTGCATGCGAATGAGGACCCCTAGCTCAGAGATGTTGTTAGCCCCATCAAAGGCTTTAGGGCTGGCCGGCCGGCCGGCCTTTGTTACAGCACCTGCTCTGGCAGAGCAGCCTGGACACTAGCTGCTCAGTGCAGCGGGCAGAGGGGCGCTGGGCCCTGGGCCCTGAGGGCTCTGCAGAGCCCATGGCTGTTTGGAGAAGCACAAGACACAACAGCTAAAGAAGTTAGGTCTTGCCGGTGGAGTCAGACTAAACATCCACTTTTGTCCCCAAATTAGCGATGGGAAGTCATTTCAACTCGAGCTGCCAGCGACTAATTATCTTGTCTTTCAATTTCCAAATGGAGGCCTCCGCCCAAATTCGAGGGAAACCACTGACATGAAATATGCAAGGAGCCTTTAATATACGTTTACTGATGAAAGGTACCAAAGGGGAAAATAACACGCAGGCACACACACACCTGCGTGTGTGGAGACAGCCTTATGGACATGTAACATGGCTTTCTTCCCGGGTTTTGTTGTTATGAAGCTAAAAGAAACAAGTAATGGGAAGTGGACCGCCTGAAGCTACTTTCCCTGTTGCACCGATAAAGGGAGGAGATTTACATGTTTTGTCATCTAAAAGCACAGTCTTGCTAACAAGAAGAATAAAAGCATGAATACTAGTCTGTGTGTTTGAGAACTCTATCTAGTATTCATAGATATAGACCTGTTTTCCCACTACAAACTTTCACTGAATAATTTTAAATCTTAACTCCTATGGATAACATTTTAAAAATTGGTTATCTACTGTTAGGCTACTAAATCCATTTTTAGACACCTAAATAAAAGTAGCATGATTTCCAAATGTGCTGAGAACTTGCAGTTCCCATTGGGAGCTTACTAGTCACCCACGTTTGAATATGTTGACTTGTATTTTTAGAGGGCTGCTATGAATAGTTTAATTCATAATTAAACTATGATTTTAGGGATACTGGCCAGCTAATTTAAACTCTATTAGTACAGTGTTTGCGATATTTAACACATATTTACTCGAAGTACAATATATTACTCCATCAACAAATATGTCTTGCAATAGTTGACTTTAAATGGTTCTGAAAAATGTAGACCTATTTCTTCTTCAGGAACTTTTATAAACCCGTATTTAATAGGTCATTTGTGAATAATAATGAAGTAAAATATTTTCCCCATCTTCTTACAAGGACAAATATATGATGCCTTTGAGATTTTTCTCTTATTCTAAAGATTAAATGTGATTGTACACACTTTTGTTCTCAGGCGGCCCTTCATCTATATGCTGCAAATAGAACTCAGCAGAGACCAGACGTTGAGTCATTCCGCTTATTAAAAACAATTTTAACACCGCATTGCTACAAACGAAATACAAAATAATTATTTGGCTATTTACGAGAGCACAGACCACTATCCTTCTGTAAACTGACGAAAAAAAACTTGAAATGTGAAACCATATAACTGAAAAAACCTTCAGTTTTTCAGGAAATCAGGATACTTTGTTCTTTAATCTGCCAAAATATGCTTGAAATAAAATTACAGAGGATACCTTTTAAACCGAACTCTCTGATTTGGAATCCATATGTTTGTACTTCATAATATTCCATTCAGTCACAGGCCCATGTTTTACAAATGTGTTTTTCAAATTCAGACTTTGTGTCTCAATTTTTGTCTAAATCTGATATGATAATAACTGAGTATATTTTGTATATTTATATATTTCTATTTAAATTACTTGAATAATTAATAAATGGTTTCGACAGAAATATATTATATATTTAAATAGTACCTTTTGTTACTCTCTCTCTCTCTCTCTCTCAAAGTAGCTGAAAGTGCTCGTATTGTCTTTACATCAACCTAAAAGTATAAGGGGGAAATTCCCCATAATAGCTGTTTATATAGAATTTATTTTTCTTTCCCCCATACCTTTTGGAAACTAAACTGATGTAGTTATGATTTAAAACACACCCAAAAGTGTTAAAATAGTCTACATTTATTGACCCAAATACAAATAGTTTTAGTTTTAGAGCATTGTAATTTGCAGGAAGTGGATATCTTCCAACAACAAATAGATTTACTTACTTTCCTCCCCCCATTGATATTTTTACTTTTTATTACCTGTTATAGTTGACAATGGCTAGACTGTGAAGATCATATTCTGATTTTCTTCTTGGTCAAATCCTTTTATAAATAACTATTTGCTGTAAAGTATTGTGATTACTGTTGTATTAACTTCTCTATTATTCTACTAATCGCAAATCAAAACTCTCACTCTATCCGGTGGGGATGGGAGGGGGGAAGTGCTAAGGAGGGGAACGGCCAAAGCCAATTGTATGGGTGGGACTTTTTTGAAAATTAAAAAATTTATTTTTGAAAATGTGTAAAAAATGTACATTAGAATAGTACAATAATACTTGCCAGTAATTTTAACAACATTCCTTGTAAAGAATACGCATAAAGTACAAAATAAAAACTCCGTATGTCTATTATAATACAAAACACAGGTTAAAATAAGAAAGGATAATCTTGACTTTCTTCTGTGTAAACATGTTAATTTCCTTTTATAAAAGTACATGAGACAAGTGTACTAAAATGAACAAGTATTGCTTTATTGTCCTCCCTCACGACCTTTCATTTCTCTTGTACATTATTGTTTTTGAATTCCTGGACCTGAGAATCTCCGAACTTCAATGGTTTAGAGATTTTTTTTAAAGGAATAAGATATAACTTTCCAACAACAAAAGTTTCTGCCTATGCAGCATATAGAATTGGCTTTGCATAAATATAGGTACCGAACAACAAAGTGGCAGGACACAAATCGGCTGTATAAAATGTCCGTTTCAACTCGTGAAGGTGAAAAAAAGATATACCCCGAATCCTACCTTCTGAAAGACTTTAACTCGTTAACAATTTGAAATCCTAGCAGTAAAGTTTTCGACATTGGACAAGACTGTCCCTTGGTGCAGTGCCCCTAAGGCCGCAGCGGCAGAAGAAACGGAGGACGAAGAAACCAGAGACCTGGCTAAGACGGGAACCACCGCAGACTGGGACGCACAGCTGCTGCCAGCCCCCCCGATGATGCTCTCAATGGAGAAGGGGGACCGGGCCAGAGCCGAGCTGCTGGATTTGGCAGCGTGCAGAGAAGAAGTCAGGGACGGGCTAAGCTGGGGCGGGTAGCTGAAGGTCCTGGCCAGCTCCGCCGCTGGCAGTAAGGAGGCTGGTGGAGCTGCAGGGGCAGCAGCAGGAGGCAGGACGGGGCCGGCGGCGCTCGGGGGCGGCTGCCGGGCCGGCGGGGAGTGGTGGTGAAAGGCAAAGAGGGCGGCGGAGTGGGGGTGGTAAGGCTGGAGCTGAATGCCATATCCACAGCTGTAGGGTCCGTAGCCGTAGGGCGCCGGCTGCTGCGGCGGCGGCTGCTGCTGCAGGAAGGTGCCGGGATCCACCCCGCGCAGCAGCAGCTCGGGCGCCGGCAGCGGCTGCCGCTTGAAGCGCTTCCTCCGGCGCAGGAAGCTGCCGTTGTC